TCTTTCTTATGGTTAATTTATTCTTTTGGAATGTTTGAATGATATTTTGTGTTACAGCTGAGATAAGAAAGGACATGAGTGGACACTATCAGGGTGCTCTTTACCTGGGTGACATCAGTGAGCGTGTGCGAATCCTGAAGAACTGTGGACAGAGTAAGTTCTGTCACTTTTGTTTTTCCTTCATATGATTGTTTTAATGAAATTTATTTTGAAGAAAATGACATCTGTGTCACATACATTCTCAGAGTCTCTGGCTTACCTGACTGCTGCCACTCATGGGATGGATGAAGAGGCTGAAGCCCTGAAGGAGACCTTTGACCTGGAAAAAGAAATGGTATGTTGTATTCTCATTACTAACAGAAATGCACATATTTGTAGATAAACGATTGAGTGACGTGTTCCATCCATGTGCAGGTGCCAGAAGTGGACACCAATGCCCAGCTGTTGCAGCCGCCACCTCCCATCAACCCCTTGGACACCAACTGGCCTCTGCTCACTGTCTCCAAGGGCTTCTTCGAGGGAGCCATTGCTGCCAAAGGTGAGATTTTGTGGTACTCCTATTGGCTCAGAGTGAATAACCAGGATTTACGAAGTTGGAACTCATTTTGAAGACTAACACGTATTTTTGTGTTTGTTTGAATAGGACGTGCTGGCCAGATGGTTGCTGACCTGGACATGGATGCTTCAGGAGGAGAAGGCTGGGGAGAAGATGCAGAACTTCATCTGGATGAAGGTATTTACTATAATATTTTACAGTAAAACTATTTTTGAAGGTGGAAACCAAACCAAAGTTAGATGTTTTGTATCACAATCGAATCACTCATGCTCTCTCATTATCCAGATGGATTCATGGATGCTCAAGAGGGACTGGGAGATGAGGGAGCTATTGGGAAAGAGGAGGGAGAAGGCTGGGATGTTGAGGAAGATCTGGACCTCCCGCCAGAATTGGTAAGTCTTGTGTAGAACTGAAATAAAAATCACTACTTTTTGTGACTGGATTTATACAGAATCCTAAGTAACCTCAAATCTTGTTGTCTTTCCTTCAACCAATAGGACGTACCTTCTGTTGGTGGAGGTGGCGCAGAGGGTGAAGGTTTCTTTGTGCCGCCCACCAAGGGCACAAGCCCCACACAGATGTGGTGCAACAACTCTCAACTGGCTGTGGATCACATATTGGCTGGATCTTTTGAGACTGCTATGAGGGTAAAGGGATTTCACAAAACTATAGATTAGGCCTGCGTGATTAGACGTGGAGAAAAAAATAGAACCGCAATTTAGTTTTTTTTTTTTTGGTGATTGTAATATTATTTATATTTCACTGTTTTAAATTTTACTTTTCTTGACGTTTTTGAAGTTAAAGGTTTTGAGGCAGGAAGGAAAATCATTGAGTCTACATACTAATCTGAAATGTAGGAGATGTTTCTTTGCCTTCTCTCTAATGTTATTTGTTCCCTTTTCTACAGTTACTGCATGACCAGGTTGGTGTGGTTCAGTTTGGACCCTATAAGCAACTGTTCATGCAAAACCTGTCCCGTGGGCGCACCTGTTACCTGGGCCTGCCATCTCTGCCCTACTTGCACAGTTACCCCCTGAGGAACTGGAAGGACAGCGGGGCTAAAGGGGGTCTGCCAGCGGTGGGCCTACGTCTCTCCGATCTTATTTCACGCCTGCAGCAGGGCTATCAGCTGACCACAGCAGGGCGCTTTGAAGAAGCTGTTGATCGTTTCAGAGCCATTCTCCTCTCCGTACCACTGCTTGTGGTCGACAACAAACAAGAGATTGCAGAGGTGTGTTTTCATTCAGGATGAGTGGTATATTGTTTTATATAGGGGCTAAGTACTAAACATACTCTTTACTTTCACTCAGGCTCAGCAGCTTATCACTATCTGTAAAGAGTATATTATTGGCCTCACCATGGAGACAGAGAGGAAGAAACTTCCTAAAGACACTCTCGATCAGCAGAAGAGACTTTGTGAGGTATGTGCATTGTAAAATAAGTTTGTTTTAATTATATATTTTTTTTTTTTACTTTATTTATTACAAAATACTTGTGTATGTTTCAGATGGCAGCATATTTCACACATTGCAGTCTGCAACCTGTCCACATGGTGTTGGTGTTGAGAACAGCACTCAACCTTTTCTTCAAACTGCGTAACTTCAAAACAGCAGCGGGTTTCGCTCGCCGTCTGCTTGAGTTGGGTCCCAAACCAGAAGTAGCACAGCAGGTAAACAGATAATTGTTGTCATTTTTTTTTTCTTGCGCTGATTTACACAAGTATCCCCCTAACCCATGGCTATACAGTCGGACAGTTTTTTATCAAATTAAGAAAAAAATTAATTAAAAAAAAGCTTAGGCAGGAAGGAAAATCATTGAGTCTACATACTAATCTGAAATGTAGGAGATGTTTCTTTGCCTTCTCTCTAATGTTATTTGTTCCCTTTTCTACAGTTACTGCATGACCAGGTTGGTGTGGTTCAGTTTGGACCCTATAAGCAACTGTTCATGCAAAACCTGTCCCGTGGGCGCACCTGTTACCTGGGCCTGCCATCTCTGCCCTACTTGCACAGTTACCCCCTGAGGAACTGGAAGGACAGCGGGGCTAAAGGGGGTCTGCCAGCGGTGGGCCTACGTCTCTCCGATCTTATTTCACGCCTGCAGCAGGGCTATCAGCTGACCACAGCAGGGCGCTTTGAAGAAGCTGTTGATCGTTTCAGAGCCATTCTCCTCTCCGTACCACTGCTTGTGGTCGACAACAAACAAGAGATTGCAGAGGTGTGTTTTCATTCAGGATGAGTGGTATATTGTTTTATATAGGGGCTAAGTACTAAACATACTCTTTACTTTCACTCAGGCTCAGCAGCTTATCACTATCTGTAAAGAGTATATTATTGGCCTCACCATGGAGACAGAGAGGAAGAAACTTCCTAAAGACACTCTCGATCAGCAGAAGAGACTTTGTGAGGTATGTGCATTGTAAAATAAGTTTGTTTTAATTATATATTTTTTTTTTTTACTTTATTTATTACAAAATACTTGTGTATGTTTCAGATGGCAGCATATTTCACACATTGCAGTCTGCAACCTATCCACATGGTGTTGGTTTTGAGAACAGCACTCAATCTTTTCTTCAAACTGCGGAACTTCAAAACAGCAGCGGGTTTTGCTCGCCGTCTGCTTGAGTTGGGTCCCAAACCAGAAGTGGCACAACAGGTAAATGGATAATTGTTGTAATTTTTTACACAAGTATCCCCTAACCCATAGCTATTCATTTTTATCAAATTAAGAAAAAAATTAATTAAAAAAAAGCTTTAATGGAAGTTTTTATTGGTTCTTGTTATTTGTGTCAGCACACTTTGTTTGTATATGTAAAAAATATATATTTCTTATAAAAAAAATTAAATTAAAATAAGAAATTACATTTAACTCAAATAAAAAATTACATTTAAATTAAAATATTAAAATAATTTAATATTAAAATTAAAATATATTTTTAATGCTCATTTTTGTCATTATAAATCATTTTAATATATTTAATAATGATATATTTATATATGATGCAGCCCCCTTGGAAGTAGGAAGTAGGCACCCTAGTTTTTCCCTTGTGTATACATAACCTGTTCTCCATCTTTCTCAGACAAGAAAGATTCTTGCAGCATGTGAGAAAAGCTTGACAGATGCTCACCAACTGAACTATGACCCCCACAATCCCTTCGACATCTGTGCAGCCTCTTTCACTCCCCTGTACCGCGGGCGGCCAGTAGAGAAATGTCCCCTGTCTGGAGCTTGCTACTGCCCCAAATACAAAGGAGAGGTCTGCAGGGTCACACAGGTTAGTTGCAAGCCCTTGTAATGTCCATGTTTAATTAGTGTTAGTTTATTGAAGATAGAAAGTCTAATGTTGTTAATATGTGAGAAAGTAACTCTGCTTTTCCCCTTGTTCCATGGTTTATCTGATCATGTGGTGCTATAAAGTGAAGGATCAATTTCATTGGCTGTCTCTCTCCTGTTTCCTAGGTAACCGAGATTGGTAAAGATGTGATCGGATTGCGTGTCAGCCCACTGCAGTTCCGTTGAACACGCATTACATAAACATGGATGAAAACAGATATGCTTCTCTCACATATACTTTTCCTTTATAAGATGAAGTAATGAAAACTTTAAAATCAGAAAATTCTAGAAAATGCCTTGTTACATGTCAAATCTCTCTGTGACTGTGACTCTATTGTTATATCTGAGGTCTCTACAGTATGTATGCTTGTTTCATTAATCTGAATAATTAAGTGTACATCTGTGACCCTGTCGATCAGTGCAAAACAAGTTTCCTTTCCTGTGAAACTCTTTAAATATTGAAATAAAATTCTGGTAAACCAATGTTTAACCACATATTTTTCTTCTCCATGCAAGGTTATTGTTAACCAACATTTTTACTTGAATTAAACTAAAATATAAATATAAAAAAGCTTATTTAAAATCGTATTTTATTCTAGCTAGTTGCCAATACAACGTTTCTCGTTTTCATTTAGTTGAAAGTCATAAAGTAACTTAAACTAATATTAAAACTACAAACCAACTTATTAAAAACTGTATATTGATATATTAACTACATATTGAAATATTGACAAAAGCTATAAGAGTATATCAGTGATACTGAAATAACACTGTTAGCATGTCGGATATTGTTTTTACGTTTATATCTTTCCAAACCAACTTATTAATGAGTGAATGTAAATTAAAAGTACTTGCACATGATTTCATGGTCATGTGTTTTTTTGTTTTTTTTTTCTTTGTGACCACAAGGAGGTGCTAAATGTACAACAGTTGGAGAATTAAGCCAACCAAGTTCACATGGTTTTGGTTAGTGCTCTAATTAATTTTGATCTATTGGAAACTTGTGCTTTCAATTCTGTACAATAACTCCCAATGAAGATGGACTGCATTTCTGGTTTGAAAACCTGGAAAAATAATGTAATAAGTCCAAGACTCCATGGCCATTTAATTAAATTTTTATTATTATTAAAAGGAATCGTATACTACTTTTGTAGTCCACATGTTGTTCAACACTGGACACAGGATTATCCAGTAAGACAGTCATTTAAAGGTCTTTGTCACATCCCTGCTGTCTGCTTAAGATCATCCGACTCACATCGATGTTGTTGTTGGTAAAAACCTCTTTTCCGTGGTCAATGGTGGCAGCAGGCAGGGATCGGGTGCGGCCCAGAATCCAAGCGAAGTCTACGTGGAACAGTCTCAAGACATCAGTGCATGAATACACCAGCGCTGAATTCTCATAGTCAGTGGACAAAATCCAGTATGGAGTGTAGGGCAAAACTGTCATTTCAAGTAGAGATGCAAAACACAAAATATTATATTTTAGGCATACATGTTGTTTCCTATTAATTCTGAATTAGAAATGTCATTACTAATGGCAACGGTAAAGCATTTAAAAAGAAAATCTGATCTGTACCGTAAGAGAAACTGATTCCAAGCTTTGCTGGATTTCTTTTATCTTCCACCACAGCTGTCCCTTCAATTGTTTTTAACTCTCCTTTTCTAATTAAAATAAAGTGTATGGTTTAATTAGGTATATTTATTACCTCTTATATAAAAGCCTAAGGAATTATTTAAAAAAGGAGAAAAAAGAAACTGATTTGGTGGTTTAGGTGTTGGTACCCACAGAATTTCAGAGCTCACTACATGAGCCGTTCCATCCAGCTTGAGAGTGAAGTTAGTCTCAATGCATCTCCCTCGCTCAAACTGTGCTGGAAGTTTAGCGATCTCAAACCACCTGCCCATAAACTACATTAGGATACAGACAAGCAAACAATGAGAACATTTAAAAGCAGAACAGAAAACCAGTTCATATCATAAGCTGTGGCACAGTATGTTACCTTCTTTAGGTTGAAGGCAGGTTGAGTGACAGGCTCTGGGCACGGCCCCCAATGAGGCACCTGGGCATTTATGATGGGCAGGAAGAGGGCCAAAACAACCAGTAAGGCCTTCATTTTACTTGTTTTGCCCTTTGCCAAAGGAAGAAGAAAAAAAATAACTAAAATAAAATAGAAATGTAAAATATTAACTAAATTAAGTTATTCAGCATACAATCTGAGATGCACATACACTACCATTGAAAATCTGGGATCAGTAAGATTTTTAAAAATGTTTTTTATTATTATTGTTGTTGTTTTTATCACAATTATTTTAATAACTGTGAAATATTATTACAAGTTAAAATAACTGTTTTCTATTTAAATATATTTTTAAATGTAGGCTAATTTATTCCTGTCATGGCAAAACTGAATTTTCAGCAGCCATTACTCCACCCTTCAGTCACGCCATCCTTCAAAAAACATTTTAATATGCTGATTTCTTTTGATTATTATCAATATTAAAAACAGTCGTGCAACATTTTTGTGCAAACTGATACTTTTTTTTCAGGATTATTTGACAAATGGAAAGCTGAAAAGAACAGCATTTATTTGAAATAGAAACCTTTTGGTACATTAGATATGTCCGTACTGTAATCAATTTAATGCATCCTTGCTGAATGAAAGTAGTAATTGCTTTCCAAAAAAAAAAAAGAATAGTAGTTTACAGTATATTTAGTTTCTTGTAAAACAAAGAGGACAGTTTGACCAAAATAAATTAACTACAAAAATAATAACACACCCTTACCTCTTAAAGTCGTGCAGAATATGATGGACCGTGGAGCTCAGACTATTTATTTGAATCATTCTCCTGTGGGATCATGTGACTGCAGAAGAGACATGTCATGAAGGAGTCTTTGTGAAGCCAGAGTTTATTCCCAGCATGAAGTAAGTAATTACACAAACTGAAGTCATGAGCACATGTTCCATTACAAATGAGTATCTAAACTAAACTATCAATGTCACAGTTCTTTGTCTTTTAAACGTTTTTTCTTTCTAAACATTCCATTTGTATTTTTCAAGTTCAACTTATTTTTGACATGCTAGTTTAGGGCAGTAAGTTGTGATCAGTGAAGGTTAAAGGCAGAGTAAGTGATTTCTGGTAGCCAATGTTGATATTTGAAATCACCAAAACAAACACGCCCCTACCCCAAAAGGGTCTTGCCCCTATTTTGATAGCTCCGCCCCACATATACGTACGCAACCCAGGCAACGATTAGTTCTGTGAAACAAAGCAAAACCAATGTTACACCGTGTCTACGGACGTGAGCGGCGCGGCGCAACAAATCCCCGACAGAAAACTGCTGCCGGGTTCTATTTATGACGTGATGACACAAATTTCAAATGGTTTTCAACGGTCGTTTGAGTCCAGTGTAGGCAGACTTTAGCTGTTGTAGACACGATGTTACTCACCTATTGAGAAGAAACAAAGCAACCTCGGCGTCCGATCACAGGCCTCCGCTCCTTGAGTTCTCTCCACCGCTGGAAAGCTGATCCGATATTTACACGGGTCCTACTTCTTGCCTTATCGTTCCGCAGACGTTTTCCTCTTTTGTTTTTTATCCGCCATCTCTATCTTTCTGTCGCTCGGCTCAGCTAATGTCCGTCCCATGCACTGAAAGCCCTCTCCTCCACATCACGAGTAGACACGCCCCTTATTGCTGATTGGCTACAAGTTTGTTTTGCGATTCGGCCCGAATCAGTTTTCTAAAGTGTTTTTGAAAAATCACATACCCTGCCTTTAACCTGAGACTTGAAATTGGCAGCAGGCTTAATGTCTGTAATGGTGATGCTGACAGACAGAGGGCACTATATTGAGGAGGATGCTCATCTGTCTAATCACAAATGTTTCGCTGGCAAAAAAGAATGGGACTTTTATGACCTATTTTTGTTTCTGAATCAGTTCTTACTTTATCGTTAACTCATATTTAGTTTCTGCCATTATGGCATGTTGGACCTGAGCATTGATTAAACTGAGGAATTGTATACTGCTCCTCTGTGGCAAGATCCTGTCTGATATAACCTACTCGTAGAGCCCAGAGAAAAAGAGGGCCCTCACCTCATAAACTTCATTTTTTTATTATTATTATTTTTAGGTTTAAAAAACTGCCACATGTATGCTTTCCCAAGCGTTTTGTATTAGAATTGTCTTTACATAAGGACTGTATCATCACGTGTAGCTGCGTGTTTTGCATGTTGCAGGTGTTTGTGATAAGTTAACCAACACTGGTGTGATAAGAACATGAAGGATTCACGTGTGACTCGACCTCCAGTTGAGGAACTAAATTTACACACCCCTTTCATAACATCTTACATGTTAGGAGAAGAACTTTACTTAATATCCTAATGATTTTTGGCATAAAAGAAAAATCAATAATTTTGACCCATACAATGTATTTTTGGCTATTGCTACAAATATACCCCAGCGACTTAAGACTGCTTTTGTGGTCCAGGGTCACATATATATATAAAAAAATGCAATGCAGGATGTTTTATTTTTTGGACAGTAGCCTATTTCATGGGCAGTGTTGGGCAAGTTACTTCCAAAATGTAATACATTATATATTACTAGTTACTGTCTTTTGAAAGTAATTAGTTACATTACAATATTACTGTCTCTGAATTGTAATGCATTACACTACTTTTGAGTTACTTTTGTGTTACTTTCATCCAAAATATCCACATAAGTATTATATTTCGCATATTCATTCATTTTATATATACACTATGATTTAATAAAAACAGATTTTATTTTTAGTTAAACTTAATTTTTGTTGCTCGTCCGCCGTCTTTTTCTCTTCTCCGACCCCGCAGCTCTCTCTCCGATAGCTTAGTGTTAGTGGCACCAGTCTAGGTGTTTCCAGGTTTTACTCGTGCTATTTCTCCATGTTGAGAGTTTGGTGTCGCACATATTGCACCTGACTATGCATTCTTATGCTTTTCTCCGATGAACTGAAAATAACAGGAGTGTGTCCATCTCACAAATGTAGAATCCGTCTCTGCAGTCATCTCAACCATTTAATTCCAGCATCAGGAAATAGACAAACTATTTTACCCGCGGGATTTTTTTCTCTGGTGCTGTTTTGCGGTGTTGGTAAATTCACCACTTAATTTTGAGTTAAAATATGTTGTTGTAACTTGCGTTACTGAGATTGTAACGAGTAATAATATTACCCAAATTTGATTAGTAATGCGTTATATTACTGCGTTACAGCAAAAAGTAATATACTACTGTAATATTATTACTTTTGTAATGCGTTACTCCCAACACTGTTCATGGGTAACAAACTAAACCATTATTTTCAAAGTTTTGAACCTTCCTGGCAGACTTAAAATGTCCAGATGTATGGACATTAGAGTGCATCTTCAAAAAGGCACAAAAAACAATATCCACCCTGAATGTGACAAAACCCAAAAATCTTTTAGAAGCAAATTTATGGACTAATATTAAAGTTCTCAGACTTGAAAGCAAAGCACTTTGTCACAAGCCAACACCCATCCAACAAACCAACATAATCTCTAAAATCGTCCTACATCGCTGCAGAAGTACCGACCCAGTGTTTACAAAGTGAACATGCAAAGAAGGTCAAACGCCCTTTACAAAAAAACGGTAAAACAGCGGTGTAGGACGATTTTGAAGTTGGAGGAGAAAATGAGATGGGAGTTTTTCGACATACCCTAACTGTTATGAACCGGAAAAAACAGAGTTCACACAGAGTTAGACAAGACGAGCGTTTGAGGTTAAAAAGTATATAAATTGTAATATTTTTTTTTTTTAGAAAATAACATCGTTTCGCTAGATAAGACCCTTCTTCCTCGGCTGGGATCGTTTAGAGCCCTTTGAAGCAGCATCTAAACTGCATTTTGGAAGTTCAAACTCTGGGGCGCCATAGAAGTCCATAATATAGAGAGAAATCCTAAAATGTTTTGCTAAAAAAAAACATAATTTCTTTACGACTGATGACAAGGGGGTGAGTACATTATCTGTAAATGTTTGTTCTGGAAGTGAACTACTTAAAAAATATATATACTTTTTTTTTTTTGACCAATCGAATGACCAATCACTTCGCTTTTATGTGTCGTGTCATTTCAGTCAGAATTTGTGACAATATTTTTTCCTTATGTAAAAATGCATTGTGCAATCATATAAAATAAGTAACATAATTGGTTATTAACATGCACACTTATCCTCTTACAGCTTAAGTTTCAAGGATGTGGAAAGCTGACCTGTTCATCACTCAACCACCTTCTTCTATAAGGTTCAACTCAAGGTGTGTTTATTTAACCTTCAACATCTCAAACGAGCAGATGCCCAGGTTCCCCAAACCTGCTGTAATGAGGTTATTTTAGTTGAGGGGGGTGGAGTTAGTGATATAACGTACAGATGTATCAGTCTATAAATACTGAACTCTGTTGCTGTTCTTTACCTTGAACACAAGTTTCACACTTCAGACCAAACAGGTAAGATGCTCGGCATTTGAATCTCAACTATCCAACTCTTAAAGCCAAATTTCTAGTTGTTCTCATTAAATATGACTCTTTTTCAGGTTTAAACTAAGAGAATGCAGGCTCTTCAGGTTCTGTCTCTGACTCTGCTGTCTGTGCTGGCGGTCAGCGCTCAGTCCATCGGCTCTGGAAAATGTCCACAGCCTCCTGTTCAGCAAAACTTTGATCCTACTAGGGTACACGTTTACTTATAATGTTAATCTTTAGTTTACTATTTAATTCTTTATTATCAGGAACATATTATGATCATCTTGAACAACTTTAGCATAATAAAGCCAAGAGGAAAGACAAGAAAAATTAAGAAAAATATCAAATTGATAACAAAAATAGCAGAAAATCTGTATTTCTTTATATCAAACTTATTTTTCAGGTACAAAGTTATCTACATTTTCAATCCTGTTCCTGTCCTCTAATTTCTCATCATTTTGTCCTTTCATAGTACATGGGCAGATGGCATGAGATCATGAAGATTCCAGCCCCGTTCCAGTTGGGAGAGTGTTGCCAGGCCACTTACACTCTGAGTGACGGTATTGTCCTGGTTCGAAATGATGAGCTTCTGTGAGTATTGGTGAACAATTACTGCAGTAATAAAATAAAATATAAAACAAAATAAAAATACTGAATTATTCTGTATTTTTGCAATCTATAGAAGTAAATAAAAACATTTAAAAACAAAATACTTGTTAATATTCCAAATAGTTTTGCACTTTCTTCTGAAATGACTTAAATTCACCAAATATTGTTTCTCTGAATATCTTAACAGTGCTAATGGCACTGTCAGCTTCATTGAGGGAACTGCCAAGATTGTAGATGCATCAGAGCCTGCCAAACTTGAAGTCAGCTTCTTTGAAGGTAAGTCTAAACTAATCATTCTTCTTAGTTTATTTTATTTATTTATTTATTTGTAAGAATCTGTGATTTGAGTTATTCGTGATGTGTCCTCTTTCAGATGCTCCTCCTGGCCCCTACTGGGTGCTGGCTACTGATTATGACAACTACACCCTGATTTACTCTTGCTCTGATTTCGCCGGGCTCTTTCATGCTGAGTATTCCTGGATCATGAGCAGAACCCGCACACTTCCTAAAGAGACCGTCTCTGAGCTGTTAGGCATCCTCAAATCCCATGGCATCAGCACTGATGGTTTCACTGAGACCGACCAGAGACCGGAGCTGTGCAGCAGCATGCCTTAATATAGCTGCCTTATAATGAACTATTGTGAGATGTGTTGTGGTCTAATTATGTTTGTAAAATA